CCCACCCCGGCCTGTGGCGGAGAACAAAGGGGTTCGGGCGGCTTCTGCCAGTGGCCCAAGCCTTCTGGGAGTCGCTGGAACCCAGACCTTTGCGGTGCTCCCGCAGTCGGCGACTTACCGACCTCACCCAGGTCACCACACCCAAGCGACATCCAGTTCTCGGACACCCCAACTTCATGTGAACCCCGGTATCAGTCATTATGTACTTGCCAACATAACAGACACCCCAGAACTCTCAGAACCCCAACGTTCCACTTCGTGTGATCCGCCCCAAGGCCCGCCCAAACCCTAACACTGAGGCAACTCCATTTATGTGGACCCCAATATTCTCCACGATCCCACTTCTAACTACTTCCCAACTTTGGGTCACCCCAACTTCACCCAACCCAGTTTGCCTACGAATCCCAACCCGCAACCACACCTAACTCCCACCCCAATCCGGACTTCACCCAGTCTGGTGCAGCACCCACACCCCACAGTCACCTGGCCAGACACTTTTTGCATCCCAGCTCTGGACCTCAGGCTGACCTCGACTTGGGCTCTCAAATCCACCATTGTGCCCAACTCTCGAGTCTCCACTATACCCCAAAATTCAGCTCAGCCCCCCCCGCCCCCCCATCTCCCTTTCACCGCTGTGCTCCAGCCGCCCACCAGCACACCCAGAACCCACTTGGCTCCTCCTCCTGCATCTTTTTTCTGTCTGGGGGTTCTGAGACCTCTGCTATCGGAAGAACGAGCTTTGCAAAGATCTTCACCCCCAAGGCTGCTCCTGGAAGCCCCTCTTGTGGTCACCCATTTCTCCCTGCCCAGGCCTTGGCTCATGTTACCTTCTGTGGCCCTGGACCCTTCCATGGGTGGAAGAAGCTAGTGCAGACCCCTGCCTTCCCAGACCAGAGGCCCAAGCTATACCCCTGCCCCAGAGAGTCTTCAAAGGTCATACCTTCTGCATAAAAGTTAGGGGGAATTCGAGGGACTTCCCTGGCTGTACAGTGGTTAAGACCCCGCGCTTCCAATACAGGGGGCGTGGGTTCGATCCCTGGCTGGGGAAATAGGACCCCGAATGCCGCACGGCGCGGCCAAAAAAGTTAGGGCGATTTGAGAACAGAGACCCCTGCTTTGCTGCCTACCCCAGGAAAGTTCCAGCCCCACTCCAGGCCCCAGACTCGGTGGGTCTAGCTGACGCAGTAGGCGAGAGCATGGACACGGTCTCCTGTGACAAGGCCGCTGGGACCCCCTCCTCGGGCTCAGGACCCCTTCCCCCTGGCAGCAGCTCATGACTCATGGCAGCCGTGTCCACAACTCGTCCCCCCACGCCACAGCCCCCCCCATACAATTCCCCGTCAGCGGCAGCCCGCTGCTGCGTCAGCCACTCACACAGGGCGGTTACTAAAAGGAGCAGAGAGAATCAGCACTCAGCTCTCGCCCTCCCGCCAGGGCCCATGGAGGGGGCCTGGGGCCAGGCATGCCCGGCCCAGGAGTAATCCCCTCCCTTCTCATCTGCTCCCCCAGCAAAGTCAGGTCGGCGGCTCCTGTCCCCAGACCAGGCGAAGGGGTCCTTGCAGTCACCGGGGCCCCTCATCACTCTTTGCACCCCCCCCCGTGCCCGCCCTCACTGTTCTGTGGTTCCTAGTCTGCCTTCTCCTGGTTTTGTGAAGTTCCCTGGTTCGTTCATTCATTCCACCAGCACTTATCGAGCGTGTACTTACTACGAGCCTGTTGCTGGGTACGGGGCTCCATGCGTACCCACGACTGTCCTGGGTTCCCATCACGGTGTGGACCTTTACCTAGGGATACCTATGGATACCATACCTTTACCTATGGATACCTGTCCCCAGGTGCGCCTGCACCGGATATTGTGTGGGAACTGTGTGCCTGCGTCTCAGGTGTGTTACCTGTCTGCGCTCCTGTGTTTCTGCGGCTACCGACGTCGGCGTGTCCCTGTGACTCGGACCTTGTGAACCCGTGAGGGGCGAGATGGGGGGCTGGTCTCAGGGGGCTGGCACCACCTTTCTCCCTGGAAGGTGATGCCAGCTCCCTCGGCCGCGACTCCACGCTCTCCCCGCGGACACAAGGGGGAGCTACGGCCTCGCTGTCAGCCTGGCCGGGGGCTCCCGGTCCCGCCCCGCCGTCCAGCCGACGGCCGCGAGCACCAGCGTGGGAGGGGGTTCCCGTCCCGCCTTCAGGCCCGCCCTCGCGTCTCCGCCCAAGTGCTGGGGGTGGTCTGCGAGGAAGGGACTTAAAATAGCCGCGGGCGGGGGCGAGGCTGCTATTCACGGCCGGGACACGCGGTGCTCACCGCCTGCCCGGCGGGACGGGGCTTAGGCCGGAGGTCCCTGTCTGCACACTCACAAGACGCCCCTCCCCGGGCGCCCGCCGAAGACCACCCCCGGGGCTAAGCCGGCGTTGCCACGGAGACGGGGGCGGGGCCTCCTTGCTCCCGCACCGCCCCCTCTGTCCTCCCCGCGGGGTCGAGCCCGCCGGACGCCGGGTCCTCCCCCGACCCCGGCTAATGACCGGGCGAGAGGCGGTAATGAGCGTCTGGGCTCGGGTCGGGCGTGGACGGGATGAAAGGCGCGTGGTGGGGGGGAACCCCGGGGCCGCGTAATTACCGGCCCCTCCCGGCCGGCCAGGCGGGGGCAGGGACGGTGTACCTGGAGGCCGCCCGGCGCGGGCGCGGAAGGGGACCGCCCTGGCAGAGACTCCAGCCCGCCCGCCTGGCCCAGATCCCCGGGGCTCAGAGCCAGGGAGGGGGAAGCGGGGACTGGATGTGTGTGTACGTTGCCAGGTGTGGTGCACATGTGTGCCGTGGGCAGGGGACTCGTGGGTACAGAGATGGAGAAACAAGGTTTCTGGGGACCATGCCTGTGTGAACATGAAAATGGGGCCGTGCGCCTGTGCACATGGCTGTGGAAGTGTGTGCATAGAACTCACACGTGTGTGTGTGCGCGTGTGCACACATGGAAACATGTTTGCATGGTCATGCCTTATGTGCAAGAACACAAGGGGTTGTGCGTGGACCCCAAAGCATGTGCATAACCAGGATGTGGGATCAGCCGGGGACAGCGCTGCTGCGTGTGCATGACGCGGGGGAACCGGGACTCACAGATCATATGTGCCCATGGCTGGTGGCGTGACTCATGCCCCTGGGGTGGGAACATGCCACGCGCTGTCAGCAGCCGCCGGGGTCTCTAGGGCAGAGGAGAGCTACAGGAGCCCAAAAGCCAGGAGGAAGAGTTTAACTTTAACTGACCCCCCCCCCCGTCCCCACGCACCCCGTTTCCCACCTGCATGAGTAGGTGGGGACATCTGAGATCCCTAGGTGGCTGCCAACTGTGAACTGGCAGGAGATTCAGCTGCCTGCGCCCTGGCCTCAGTTTACCTCCTGTTCCTAGGAGGGGTCTTCCTGGCGGAGGGGGCGTGGGAGGGGGCACCTGGGTGGAGCTCCCTGTGACTCATGGCCCAGGAATGTGGAAGCTGCCACTCTTCTGCTCCTGTCTCAGCCCCCATCCCAGAAGTGCAAAGGCCAGGCAGCGC